AGACCCCCCCCCCGCCGGGGAGAAAATGGCGCCAAGCGGAAGGGGGATGTCACGTGACATGACTGGGACTTCCGGGTGTGCGCGGGCCTAGTTCACTGCTGCACCCCTCCCCCCCACACTTTTTTCCCAAGAAGTGTATTTTTACGCTCCCGTGCATTTTGGGCAGCCTACCTTTCTCAGGAATTACGCTTATTTCGGAAAAGTCCCACCTACACATCCTTCACATCCCACTAGTAGAGAAACACTGGACCAGGAGGTCCCAGGACAAGAGACTGGACTTATCTTCCCAGGGCAGCTGGACCTGATGATCTTGTGAGGTCCCTTCCAGCCCCTCAATCTATGAAATCTATGACCGGAGACTGGGCAAGATGGACCCAGTACATGGCGGGCACTGATTGTGTTCCGGAAGCAACTGGGAGGATTTTGCACTTCTAGGGGCAGGGGGTCGGAGACGATGATCCGTTGTGGTCCCTTCTGACTCTACAATCTGTGAATTTATGAATCTATCATGTCGGAGCACTTGTGAAACTCGCTTTTGGCATCGTGCATCCAAGCAGTGTTGGCCTGGTTTTAAACCAAAGTCTGTTGGGCTTTGCCACGGTGTTTTTTTTCCCCGGTGATGTGTTCAGCGCGCTCGGCTTATAGTACTCTGTAAACAAACGCTGGTTTTATCTCTCTTGCTTTTCCTCCCAATAGGCCATTGAGGAGGAAGGGGGAAATCCTGAAGAGATTCCAGTCGTTTCAGAGATAACGGTCAAGAAAACTCCAAAAAGAAGCAGCAAAGGTATAAAGAAGTTGAGAGAGGATTTTTTTTCCTTGATTCGCTAATACCTTGTGCCTACAAAAAAAAAACCAACCTTCCTTCTGTCTGTCCTTCCTTCCACAACATGCTGCTTTATTGATATACTTAACCAAGGTGGTCTGTCCCCAAATTCTTTTACATTTCTGTAGAAGCATAGAGTCCACAGTCAGTTACATGAGATGTCGAAGACCTGAAATCTCAAAGTTTCTAAACCAAAAAAAATAAACTTCAGGAAAAAAAGAAATGCTGGTGTTGATTCCAGTTGGAACTTAAATCTTCATGTTCTTTTAAAGCTCTGCTTACCATTATAGAGGAGAAAGTCATTGGATAGTTAGAGTAGATTGGTGCAGGGTGGGGCCGGAATCCAGTTTCTGTTTCCAGTGGTGAAGCTCTTGATTCCATAGTTTACTGTTCTTAATAGTTTAATGGTACATTTATTTACATTTATAGTTAAAATTTAACCCTGATGATATATCTATATTTACTCGAAAGTTGTTTTCAGGTGATATTTCTAACTACTGCTTGGAATAATTTTCCTAGTACAAACAAATCCTCCAGGTAATGGTCAAGAATTACCTTATCTTGTGACTTTTTTTTTTTTTTTAAAGATATGTTTCTATTTCTGAAATCAGGGTTGTCACTGTCACTAAATCATTTTTTAAAACTAACAGTTTAGAGGTAGAACCTGCTTCAGTACTGAATTATGTAGAGCAAATATTTTGAATAATTGATGATGAGTAAATTGTTGAAAGCTTTGAAGTGCATTGTGCTCGATCACGTAGCCTCTCCTCGTAATGCTCATGTAACAGAACTATGCCTGGCTCAGGTCAGTGCCATTAGTCACTGGCTGTGGATTAAATTGACTTGCAAATTCAAATGCATAATTATAACTCAGAATATAGAACATGCCTGTAAAAGTAGAGAGATGGTTAATGATTAAAGAATTTTTTTCCCTTCCCAGTTAATATGTAAAACATCATTTCAGTGAAACAGCATCGAAACTGAAACATTTCTCCTTTATGGAAAGGCTATTTCTAAAAACTTTCCCCCCCTTCTTGTGCTGTTCTTTGGCCTTTGAGGAAATAAATGCCTGAGAAATGATTTGGTCTGTTGTCATGAGAAGTTTACTCTTCTGTGGTGGACACTGTTGAGTTTAGTAATAACTGTCGCTGCTAATAGTATAGGTCAAAGAGATGAGTTGGTACTTCTCATAGTAAGAATTGTTATTAGACTGATATTTTAAATTAGTAAACTTTTGAAAATAATAACAGTTATGATTTAGTCAAGTTATGTTGCTGCATTGAATCAAGTAGTCTGCAAGTACTTTAGAGAAGCTTTTGGTTGAGTCTTGTTTAGTACAACTGGTAAATGTTTAGACATTGTATTGTTCTCACTTAGTGAAATGTGATATTAAGGGTTTTTTTGTTTCTTTTTAAGAATTGTTGAATAGGAGGCCAAGTGTATAACTTTTTCTGCAAAGAATTGTATTTAACCCCTGCTCTAACACAACACAGTCTGAAGAATATGGTTTTTGTTGTTTCTCATTCTAATCATCGTAATGTTACTAGGGCGCAAACCAGAGGAAGAGGGTGTTGAAGATAATGGACTGGAGGAGGATTCTGGAGATGGACAGGTATGTGCTACTGCATTTGAGGTGAAAAATAATAGTGTTGCATTTAAGTCACAATGTCTATTATATGTACTTTTTTTCTTTTTACAGGAGGATATTGAAGCAAGTTTGGATAACTTGCAGGATATTGACATGATGGATATTAGTGTGTTAGATGAAGCTGAAATAGATAATGGCAGTGCTGTAGATTGCGGAGAGGATTACAGTGCTGATAATATTCTTGACTCACTGTCTGATAGTAAAGAAAATGATGATGCAGAAATGAAAGAACTTCCAGATCAGCCTACAGAATATCCTGTAGGTAACTTGGAGGCATCTCCGCAATTATCAGAAATTAAAGAAGAATCAAGAGAAATACCAGTAGTGATGGTATGCATCTCTTACATGTGTGGAATCAGAATTTTTTTTTTTTTTTTCAAATTAAATAGTGAAATTGTACCTGAGCAATATTGAAAATAATTTGGGAATCTGAATTTTTTTTATGGTCATTGATTTTTATTTTATTTTTTAAAAATTATTTGTAGAAATAGCATTTTTGATTTAAAACATGCATAGGTTCTGTTTGCATGCCTTGTTAGTGCCCACAGTAGTATTTCTAGAAAGCCTTACTGATTAAATCAGTGAATTCCCTACTGTGCCTTAAATTTTACATTCTCATTTTCTCATCATTCCTTTGTTTTGGATGGTAGTCTGAGGGATACGTATGCCATAGTCTGTCGTCTTTGTAATTGAATCGGCTTTGCAATGGTTTATCGTACAATGTATTTTACATTTTATGATAACATTTGGTCTCCCAGTCATCCTGGCATTGGAAATATTTTTCACGCTGGCTTTTTGCACATGTTAGTTTGTAATGGGCAGCATTATCTTGTTTTGCCGGAGTATAAACTTTTCCGTAATTGTTTAGGTTACTTTCTTGAAACATACAGTGGGGTACAGGAAGAGAGTAATACTCGTATTACTCTGTGACGTGCTTTGTCTCCATCATCTGGATTGTTCATATCCTGAGATGACTGCTTTTTCTTTAATTTAGAATTGACAGTAATAAATAACAAAATTAAAATATTGAGTGGGTTGTATATTTTTACTGTAAAATTAATTACATTGCAATTTTTCATTAGACCAGCTGGCGGTCTAGAGGGAAACCTTGCTTAGTGTATTTGAATAAAAGGCATATAAGGAAAAATATGCCATATGGAATCTTTTTGTTTAATGTTGACATTTATTTTCAAAACAACAAGGAGACTTTAAAGTGGGCAGGGACAGACTAGGGACAGTTTGTTACCTGATTTCTTTCTTTCTTTCTTTCTTTTTTTTTAAGTTGCAATCATCTTTAGCCAGGTTTTCAAGTTTTAAAGGCTAGTAAATATTTAATTTCATATATCTCAGGAAAGTAAAGTTAGAAATAAAATGTTTTTCCAACCTTTCAGTTTCTCATTTGGTTTTATTTTCATTAAAGATGTGATGGATATTCTGTAGGGAATGAAATGTCGCCTATTTATTCTTTCAGGCAGAGAGTGAAGATGTTGGGAACTGTTTAGATGCTACTTCATCTGATTTGATTATTGTAAAGGTAAATAAGCACTACTTTTTTAACAGATTACTAGCAATGATGATGTATGAACAGCTAATACCTTTGTCTCTCTCTGGAAAATATTCAAATGTTTTGTTCTTATTTCTTAATTTAGAAGTAAGAATATGCAGTAAGCATATTAAAACTACATGGATTCCCCTATATATTTGTGTGTAGATTCAGAGAATTTGAGGTCCTTTTATGCTTTATTCTAAAAACAATCCAATTTGTATTCTGTACCCAACTCAAACTATAACTGTTGCACTTCACTCTATTTCCTTCATCAAATGTGTGAATACGATTTTCAGAATAATTAGATATCATATACAACGATTGAAATTATTGCTGAAACACTGGGTTTGGGTTCCAGCATCCTTGAGCATCCAGGGCTCTTGCTGACTTCCACAAGAGCTGTAGGTGACCTGTTTCTGCTGATCAAGTTCACAGAAAAAACTTACGTAGAACAGGGTGGCAACCTTGCAACACATGCCACAACTGGCATGGGCAGCCAGTGTGTGTGGCATGTAGCAAATTGGGGAGGGGACAGGCAGCTCAGTGGCAAATAGGGCAAGAAACAAAACAGTGCAGCGGATCAGGCAGGGAATAGAAAGCAGAGCAGCAGATTGGGCAGAGGGAAGGGATCAGAGTGGCTCGTGGGGATGGCACAAGGCTGATTTTTGAGGCATGTGCTCTAAAGAGTTTAACCCTAACAGATTTAGAACATGGGATTGCAAATTATAGGAGCATGGTGTTCATGAAGCTTTTGCTTGCTAATTATTTGCATGTGTTTCTGGGAGTAGTATAAATGAACAGCACATCACATGCTAGCTGAATAATAGTGCTATTCTGATATTATCTAATTCTGTGTAAAACAAATGGCTGTATCAGTGCTGTAGTGTTCTCTGAATTGCCACAGAAACTCTTCCTTTATGCAATTAATTCTGAGTTCCTGTTATTTTATTTCATCAGTGGACAATGCGTTAGGACTTTATGTAAAGATAATAGATTAAGACTTATTTAAAGATAATTTAAGGAATTTACACTTCTCACAGTTTACAATATTACCAAAACTTGAGCATTTTTTAAATTCCTTCTAGATGTAATTTGGGCCCAGTTGAACAGCGCTGTGATATATATATATATTTTTGTTTGTTTTGTTTGTTTGTAGGAAATTGAAGAACTGCCTTTGGAGCCAGGTACTGTTTAACAAAAAAACCCAGAAATACACACCTAGTTTGGAAACAGTTTCACACTTCCACCTAATCCCTTTTTGTATCCCTACTTTGGTTTTTTGTTTTGTTTTTTTTTTTTTTAAACTGAATTACTATAGTGTGCATTGTTCTAATGGTGGACAACCAGATCATGCAAGGGTCATAGAGATTGGAAACCCAGTCATATCACCAGATCTGTAATGGTGTCATCTCCATCATTTGAGAAAATAGGTTCAATGTGAATTAAAGTGGTTGATTAGAAAATGTTCTCATTGGCTATGTTAATTAACCTGAGCCTTGAAACTTAAAGGTTCTGCACATAAAAGCAGATCTTGTGATATCACACAGTACCATAATTCTGTAATTTTGAATAGAGGAGTTCAGGTAGTATATAAAGCTGTGGTAGGGAACTAAAGTGAATGGACTTCAGAAGAAGGAAGACCGAGTTTCTTCATGGAATTATCATACAGATATTATTCACTTTCTGGACTGCAAAAATACTTGTGCACCAACAGAAGATGCCCCAGTTTTCATGTTGGACTCTCTGCTAAAAGAATTTCACAGGAATCTGGAAATTGAACTGTCAAAAGAATTGATGCAGTCAGTTAAGGATCTTGGACTTTGGAAGCTAAATTAGGAAGAACTAGAACTCGACATCATGAAGACTGTCAAGGATCAGCCAGAAGGTTATATGTTAAGTTTATCGGGCGTTTTTCTTCCGTGTAGCTTTCGGGCTTTAACGTAAGAGTTTGTTAGAGAGCAGCTAGCCTAGGGCTCTTACTGTTGTGTCCACTAGGGTTTTCCAATCTCTGTGTAGCTTAGAAGGTCTCTTGGTGTTAGTGTGGCAGCCATGCCAGTTCCACATTTGTGATTGCTGTATTTCCCTGGTGATTAAATCTTGTGCCATTCTATTCCTGTTAAATCCGTAGAAAATGAGAAAATACTCGACATTTTGGGGGAAACTTGTAAATCTGAGCCACTTAACGAAGACAATTCCGAAGTGGAGCAGCCATTTGCACAGGAAGGAAGTAACGTGGTGCCAGGCAGAAAGCTAGCAGAGGAAGAGGACGCTCTTGCTGCCGCTGAGTCGGAGGAAGAGGCCTTAGCTTTGGACAGCAAATCGGCCCCAGCAGTGGCAAGGAAGGAGGCAAAGCGTTTAGTTGTAGCGAAAGGGGAGACAAGTGAACAGACAATAGAGGAAGAGAAACCGGAGGACTCTGAATGTTTAGGAGTAGACCCCGTAAGCGATCAGAGTAGCAAAGCCTCCCAAGGCCCGGAAGCCTCTAGTGGGGAAACAGCGGATAAAGGCGCGGGTGCCGAAACCAAAGATAGTAAAGAAGATGCCAAGAAACCCGAAGACAAAGCTAATGCTGAAGACTCATCCGCTACTAAAGAGTCCTCTACCAATGAGGGCGGTGATCAGAAAAAGAGGTTTGTTTTTTCTCAGTTCTAGACCAGATGCTATCTTTTTTCATTGGTCATTAAGTGATGCAAAAAAGCTGTTTCCTTCAATTGGCCAGCGAGACTGATGAAATTGTAGCTTATTCCTAAAGAATCTCTTTTGTTTCTTGTGCAGTTTTTAACCAAGGTCTTGATTTCTTTCCTTTCCTCAACCTTCAAAGGTTGTTTTCTTAATTTTTATTATGTGCCAAACAGAATTAATTATCTGTTTTAAGCAAATGACTTCCCTTATTTCTTGTCAGATTTCTTAAAACAAGTTTGCAAAGGTCTTTTTATTTCACAACTAATTTTCTGGTAGGTATTGAATGCTAGTGCATATAAGAGTTAGTTTTGTTTCTGATTATTCTTTGTTCACTAACATCATTTTTTGTCTTTAGCTCTATTGAGGATGCAGAGACAAAGACAGTCTCAAAAGATGAGAAAGGTAGGTTTTAGAAATGAGACTGATTTTGGATAAAATTATTGGGCCAAATCCTGACATAAATTGACTGACTGAGGTCAGGAGAATTCAAGGGAAAAATTGGGCTTATGTTTTGGCTGATGTTTTATGGGTTTCATTTGGCCCTAATCTAGCCTTAAGTGTATACCTAACTGCGCTATGGCTTATTTCTGTTAATCTTGGTGGGATTGCTCCCAGTAGTAGCATTTAAGTGGACACGTAAATTGTGTTTTTTCAGGATTAGGATGTGCCTTTGAAAGCACAGTAATGCTAAGAGGGAAATTAGTAAATTGCTTTATTCAGTGTGTGTTTCTCACATCTTCAGGGAAGATTGCCAGTGCAATGAAGATTTAGCTTTCTTGTAATTCAGGTTAACTCTAGTGTGATTAGAATTGATTGGATTGTCTCTCCTAACAAGACTGTTACTTTTGACTAGCTCTAATTTATATAAAATAGTCTTGCTGATGGACTGCAGTAAAGGCAAGACTTTAAAAACGTCATCTAAAACTTTCTGATTAGATTTCTACTTTCTGTGGTAGTCATTAAAGAAATTCAGGTCTCTAATAGTGGGTTGTTTGTTCGTTTTTTTGCAGAAACTCTCTAGTTGAAAATACCATATCATGCTTTTATTATTCTGCATGTTACAACACTAGTGGTTTGTTTTGAGATACAGAAATTAAACCTCATGTACTTAAGAGTGATGAGCAGGTCTAAACGTTGGAATTGAAGTGGTAGTGTAGTTTAGATTTAGTATGGGCTGTAATTTATGAAAGTGGAATTTCTAGGGAAATTGTTTTTTGAATGCAGCGCTTCTCTGATATAGTAGTGTTTAATAATTTTTTTAAATTAGGTCGTGCAAGTAGCAGTTCTGGTAGAAATTTGTGGGTTAGTGGACTTTCCTCTTCTACCAGAGCTACGGACTTGAAGAACCTTTTCAGCAAGTATGGAAAGGTATGTGTTGTACAGTGCTTCTACATTCAGTTTTACTTATTAATTTTGATAAAAGGGTTTACATGCTGTACCATCTAGCTGTTTCTTTTTTAGTAAGGAACAGCATATTGAATTATGAGGAAAGCTGGCGTGAACTAGTTGTATGGTTTAACAAACAAAGCAACTGGACAGAAAAATGCCATGTAATTAATGGCAAGTTTCCAGAGGTTGGATTAAACAACAGGAGCTGGGCTTTTAACCAGCTTTTGAAAATAGCTCCCTACAAATATAGCACTTCACCAAATACCTTTCAAAATTTCTGGGGAAAGTAAAACACTGGTTGCTTACTTCTGCAGCCCCAGTCACTTTACCATTCATAGAAAAAAAAATCAAACCAGGATGTTTTCTGCAAGCCAGGTCTTAGATGCTACCTGACTGGCAATTTGTTAGTGAGGATTTTCTGAATGACACTCAGGTACTCTGTATGTTTGCTTATCCAGAAAAGTGCATCTTTTTACAATGTCAATCATGCCTATGGTAGTCCAGTGTTAGCATTAATTGCTTTAAAGGTACTTTAACAAATCCATACATCTGCATTTTATTACTGAATTGAAGAAACTAGATATCTTACCCCAGCCAAAGATTCAGTAGACTGATATGCAAGATAAGAAACAGTGGGGTAGTGTACAGCATGTGACTGGCCTCTGTGGTCACTGGACTGTGCAGCAAGGATAAGATTTCTGGAGAACTAAAATCTGTATTATAATCTTAAACTGAAGTCTTCCCAACTATTTTGGCACCATCACTGCCATGTATGGAAATATTTCTAGTACCTGGAGAAGTACTTTAATGGCAGCTTTTTCAGAATTCTTCTGACCAGTCTACTTATATCTCTGTTCCCCTGTATAACTTTGGGGTCACTTGCAAAATAAACTTGGCTCAGTTGGACAAATGCTGCTTGTTAGAAATGCTGATTTTCCAGTGCAGTTTCAGAAGAGCAAATGCTCTTGGTTTACACAGTATTGACGAACAATTCTTTTGGTATATGAGGGACTTGGCAGTACTTAAGTTGTAAATACATGATGTTCTGCAGTTACAAAATAACTTATATTAATTTAATTTTTGCAAGGTGGTTGGTGCAAAAGTAGTAACTAACGCTCGCAGTCCTGGTGCTCGCTGTTACGGTTTTGTTACAATGTCCACATCTGAGGAAGCAACTAAATGTATTAGTCACCTCCACAGAACAGAGCTACATGGAAAAATGATCTCTGTAGAAAAAGTAAGTGAGCACTTTCCATGATTCAGTGTAATGCAAGGATAAAAATACTGCATAGACTAATGCTCTGATATTTAAAATTCCAGGCAAAAAATGAACCAGCTGGGAAAAAACCTTTAGACAAAAAAGAAAATGAAGTAAAGAAGGAAAAAGACAGACACCATTCTACAGATTCCAAGTCTGAAAAGTAATTTTTTTTTTTTAAGAGATCCTATATTTGAAATATTAAAATGTAATGCAAAACCATAGTTAAAGATTAATAACAAATTAAAAGATAATTTTGGAAGTACTGTATCGTGATTGGTTGGTTCATACTAACCCTCAGATAACTTGGTTTGCTCATAGAGCAGGAGAAGCATTTTTATTGCACCCTGTAGGTCTAGCTTCATGGATCCCATTTCAGAATTTTTTTCATCTGAGAGTGAATAGCAACAAGTTAAATCTGTAACCCAGTTCCTCCTTATGTGTATATTTCAAATTTGTGTCTCTGCTTCAGTTCAGCACACCCTAATGATTTCTTGGACTTCAACTCTTGTCTGATTGCCTACACATACCTGGTGCTTATTTAAAATGGTACATTAAGACAATGATGAAATTCTTAGATCTTGTGAATTGTATCTATGAAAGATCAAAAAAGGGGGTCTTGGGTCTAGCATGTGTTAGTACAACGTTGCTGGTATAGCAGACCTGTGTCGTGTAAGACCCAGTTTCTGCCTGCAAAAATGGTATATAACTTTTTGCTCTGTTCTACTTTTGTCTTTATCTGCGTTTTAAGAAGGGACTGGGTTATCACTGAGTAGTTGAGACAGACGTGGTGAAGAAGAAATCACAATGGTGCCACGGGTTCTTTTGTAACAACCCAGTGCAGTTATTTGTAACTTGGAATCTGGCCACATCTTTTCAGGCCCTGTACTGGCATCTCTTGAGTAAATTCACTCACAAAACCAGCATTGACAGCAGCATGTTCAGCATGATTATTGTTGAATGTACTGTCTCCTCACAGATGAGGATTAAAGGGTCTCTTTATGTTCCTTGGAGTGGGTCAGCTCTATAAATTGTCATATCATCCTTTTGTTTAGGCTACTTCATTAAAAGACTAGTCCCTGTTTTTAAAAAAGCCTTTGGAATGGGCCAGGAGAGAGATTATTCCAATGTCTATTTTTTGTGGGGTTTGGTAGCCTTTGTTTGAGAGAGGCATTCCTTACACAGTGGTTTATTTGCTGCTTAGAGGTCACTCCATATTAAACTACCTTTCAAAACCCCTGATTGTGCTTTGACCATCTTGCTTGGTAGATTGTTAGGATTCAAACGTTTATGCAAAAATTCTTATTCTGATTGAGCTCATAATTTTTGTGGGTGTCTGCATTTCAGTTCCAAAAAGTGAGCTGCATATGAAGTTAATCATCAAAATAATTGAAATTTTTATCAAAAACCATCTGGAGAACTTGTGTTCAAAAGAATCACCTGTCTTTTCCCTTGCATCTTTCAAGCTTTGATATTCAGTCAACTAGATTAAAAATAATAAGATGCAAATATATGTTGTATTTAGTATTTGGCAGATGAGAAGAATTTGTTGCAATTTCAATTTTTAAAGACTGGTTTGTGCAGAAGTCAAAAAGGAGTGCATGCATCTAGACTATTTCCTCTGTACTTTGCTTTAAAGCTCATTTTATCTGTAGGTCTGTCAATATTAAAAAGGATGAGAAGACAGACAAGAAAGATGATGCTAAGAAAATGGAAAAAGATGGCAAAGATGAAAAAGAAGGAAAAGAGAAAGATGAACAGAAAGCAGGAGTCACGGATCGCTCAAGGATAAGCAAATCAGGTAGCTCAAGCTGCTTTGTTAATATAAATGGGATACCATATTACAGATGTCGTTCACATGGGCAATTAACAGCTGACAAAGACATCCCAACAAAATGACAATTGTGTTGTGCCATAGCTACACAGTGGAGTCTCTGGGGAAAATTATATTCCCTTCTGTTGGAGAATTCTGTCCAATGCTTTACATTCACCATTTTGAATAGTCTGTCTTGAATGTGTTAGTTTCCTAAAGGTAACAAACTGAGCATTATAAAATGGTGCTTTTGCTGATGTATCTTACCTGCTGGAGCCAGTGTCATATTTAAAGTCTAAACAAATTTAAAACTTTAAATCTAAAATATTTTTCTGCTTTTGCGTTTCCATAAATGATTATATCCACCTAATCTGATGACTTCAATTGTTTCAAGAACAGTTTAACGTTTCTTAGATGACTTAAATGATCTTTGGTTTGTACTTTTTCCCCTCTGGTTTAAATAGGAAGTCGAGGAACTGAAAGGACAGTGGTGATGGATAAATCCAAAGGAGAACCAGTTATTAGTGTGAAAACTTCTACTACATCAAAAGAAAGAGTGAGTATATTGTTCATAGACACCAGGGCAATCTTCCCTGAAAGATCTTTGCGGAGTGTCTGATTTACATTTCGAGAACTTCGGTTTTCCTTTTTTAAACCGGTATGAACTAGTAACATAACACAGTTTTGATAAACGTTTGTGCCCTGCCTATGCTGTAACCATAATCATTGATGCTAGAGGCAGGAAATTGCATTTGTACTGTAACAAGGCCACTGAGACAACATTGTCTCTTAAGGTATAGGATGCAGAGGAGGGGCTCTTGCATTTATTACAAATGGTATGGTCTCATCTTATGCTTGCGCATTCTCCTCAGAAATTGCAGCTAAGTGACTTTTTAGTATAAATACAAGGATTCCTTTGGCCTCGGCTCCTTTCTGTCTTATCTGCAGTGTCGGCCATTACAGCTCCTAGTAGGGAAGGGTTGATGGGTTCTTTGTGAGCATATACAGTGTACTCTGTTGAAGTGTATAGCCTTGGAACTGGAAAAAGCTATGTACTTAGACCATGCATTTATTTGATAAGCAGTGCTCCTTATGTATACAGCACCCCTACACTGTGATATTAGCAGGCCTGAAAATGAACTACGTGCCCTCATTTTCAAGGCCTCTAACAGTCAGTTTCAGGCCTGCTGATTCCCATAATTTCCCTGGTTTCTGAGAGCCACCCTTTGAGAGATCATTTTCCTTTGCTCTTCCTGATGGAGTTAACTGTACCATTAGTTTCAAACTAGTCTGGTTAGGTACAGTAAAATTAACTCTGCAGTTAAAGGGAGCACAATTGTGAAATATGCACTTAGACATTTTATGGATGTAACCAGCATGCAGATAGCCAGGGTACCCTAAACCAGTGTTTCCCAACCTTTTCCAGCCCAAGCCACACTTACATTAATAAAACTTTTCAGCAGCACCTGTTAAGGCATTCCCCATCCTCATACCAGTTGTAGCTCATTGCCATGGCAAAATTCTGCGTCGTACCTGTTCATTTCTGATGGCACACTTTTGTGCTGTGGCACACTGGTTGGGAAACGCTTCCTTAAACAACGGGCAGCAAATTAGGACCCGTGTTGTGTTTCACAGTTAAGCAAATTATGTGCTTATCTGCTATGCATATGTGGAGTACTCTGTAAATGGGCATTAACGTTGCCTTTGGAAACTTAATCCAAACATGTATTTAATTTACTATATTACCTTGATTAAACAGAGCACTAAGAGCCAGGACCGCAAATCGGAGAGCAAAGAGAAACAAGATATCTTGTCATTTGATAAAATCAAAGAACAGCGAGAACGTGAACGCCAGCGACAGAGAGAACGAGAAATCAGAGAAACAGAAAGACGACGGCGGTGAGTTTCATATTGATGCTTCTTTCCCAGCAGAGGTATTTTCTTTCAGAGTAGCACCTGAGGGCTTTTCCTCACTATTAGTCAGTATTTTTGACAGCCTTCAGCTTGCAGTATCTAGACTGCTGTTTGCAAAATAATCAATAGATTGACAGCAATCTCTTTAACGGTAGGTGATGTTCAAATGTGATCCCTGATGCTAAAACATAGACGAAGTTTTCTTACCTTTAACAGCTGTTCTTAGTGGTGTGGTGATGAGAAGTTTCTCCCCAGGAACCAAACATAATTTGCCTGTGAAATACACAGTAATGGATAAGATCAGGGAAGTGGTCATTAAAACTGACTACTGTTCACTGCAGATAACTTATGAAGGTTATTTTTAGTCCCTTGTTTTGACTGCGAAACTTGTTCACAAATGACAGTTTTGTGTTGTGGTTCATTTTATAGCTGAACTTATTAAAGCATAGGGAATGTTATATTGCCCACTTGATACTTGACCAATTTTTGCAAGTTTATAGCAGTTTCACATTTGCTGTCATGCAAGAGATAAAATGGCCATAAAACATGTCAAAGGATCATTTATTCTACTTTGAAAACATATCTTGATAGCACAGAACAGGAGAACATTATCCTACAGTGACATTGTATTCTGCTGGCAGTGTCTGTTACAGAAATGGCATGTTTGTGGATTTTGTTACCTTGAGTTTAGCATTATTTATGTTCAAAATTTACTGTCTTGTATTTTTTCCATGGGTTAGTGTTTATATTTTCCTAATAGCCTTAGTCAAAAAAGGCTTAATGGATTTTGCTCTAAAACTTTGCACTTCAGTATTCTTTCAAAGACAGACTACTGAAAGATTTTTCACATTTTACATTTAATTCTGCTAAAACGACTCTGAGCCTTGCTTATATTTAATGACAGTTTCTTTGGGGCAGAAGTGTTTCCCTTTTGTCAGAATTGCACACCTCCTTTTTCCTTTGACACCAGGTACAGAATGTATAGAGAGCTTGCTGGCCCAAAGGAAGCATTTTCAAAATTGCTTTCAAGAAAAGGAATGGTTACCACTACACACTGCTTGCCTCTTGTCTCGCGTGTTTATTGATTTTTATTTATTTTTAAACTGTTCTAACTGGCTATGATTTTAGTGAGGAGGAAAATGCCCAAGCTAATGGGGTTGTACAAGGTGATCTAAGAAACTTGTCACAACCTGCCCTCCTCCCTTCTCCCTGAAACTGAAGGTGTGCACTTCTTATGATAAAGCAAATCTCCACTTGAATTACACAGAGAGCAAGAACGGCGAGAGAGAGCACAACGTCTTCAAGCCATTCATGAACGGGATGAAAGACAGAGGCTCCAGAGAGAGCGGGAGCGACTTGAATTTCAAAGGCAGCGTCTTGACAGGGAACGTATGGAGAGGGAGAGACTGGAAAGAGAGAGGATGCATATAGAGCAAGAGAGGAGAAGAGAACAGGAGCGCATTCAACGGGAGAGAGAGGAGCTGCGGCGCCAGCAAGAACAACTGCGCTACGAACAAGAGCGGCGGTCTGCACTGAGACGACCATATGACCCTGATGGAAGGTAATGGTGCTTGCAAGGCAGTTTTAGAGACCCTCTGTGATATGAGGGCTAGCGAAGTAACCAGCAAATGGATCTTATGCCGCCAGTAAGTGTGCAGAGAACAGATGCTGAACTTCACAGCATTGCCATACTGTTTGCAGTTCAAAGTTTATTTACAAGTTGCTGTTCACACTTTGTTATATTAATTTGATCTTTCTAAATAGGCACAATCAGCAAAATGCACAGATGTGTTAGGCATCGCCACTCTGAGTTTGCTGTCTGAAGTGCCTTAGAAAACATGATGTGGTCAGACAGCCATAGCAGGTTATGGATTCCCTCCATTACCATGCCATGCTCTCTGAGTGCTGTGACATGAATTGCCTTGCTGCTTCTTGAATAAAGGAAGAGTAACTTTCCCCCTCATACTTTGAATCGGCTTTCAGCTACCTGCATCATGACCTGTATGGCAGTGGGAGTTTCTTCCTCAGTTGACTCTCACAAGCTTTAAATCTGCTTTGTTCCTGTTTTGTTTTGTTTTGTTTTTTTTACCCCAGTGTGGGGAAAGAAGCTTATACCTTATCAAATTACTTTTCACTTTGATCATTTCTCTGGCAGATTTTCACAAACCTCTCAGTTTATGTTGCTAGCTGAGTACTGAATTTTAAAGTGGACCAGGTTGCTTAAAGAAAAATACATCATTCATAAGTTGGGCACCTGTGTTTCTGTTCAGAAAATTGTTGTTCCCCGGTTGCATTCACTTCTATTAAATGATTTGTGCCAGGGTGTGATTAGTCTTTCACGGAGTTGCTAATAGCCAGAAATGTACTTAGCTCCCCTGTTTCTTGTAGTTGTAGGAACATGTCTATAATGTCCCCATCGTAGGTCTCTGAGGATTTAAAAACAAACCAAAAAGCTGTAGCATTCAGCGACTCCTGTTAATACTGACATTGCAGGCTTACAAAGCTCTGAATGTGGCCGAATGTTTTCAGGCATTCTGAATCAGTGTCCTTTGGGATGTCAGTTCACACACAACTGCAAAGATGGAAGGCTTGTAAAATGATAGAAAAAGTTGCTTGAATTGTAAGATCTTTGGGGGTTTGCTCACCTGTTTCTGATGCACCTGAAATCTAGTCACTTGGGTATAAATTTTACCCTTGGTTCAATTCTAGTGAATTGGATTTTGCTAAGGATGAATTTGGCTGTCATTCACCAGCCACTTTAGTACAATTTTATTGTAAGGAAAATAAAAAAGCCAGTGAAATGTACGTAACGCTGTTTGATGACATTGGTTATTCCCGTCTGACTGCTACAGATACTAGACTCAAGGGAGGGTGAATGAGTGACTTAAATTGTGGATTTGAATCCTCAGAGGCCAGTGTCAGTAGGATGGAATAGCCGCTTCATTGTAACACATTCTGAGATTGAAGGGTGTGTAGTAGTGATAGTTAACTCTTTTCTGAAATTGAAGTGCCACATCAGTCCGGTGTGTCAGCAATCTTAATTATTTAAAATAAAAAAGAATTATTGAAAGTTCAGATTAACTAACTAGATGCATCAACTGAGACTTGATTTGAAGACAGCAAGAGAAGAAAAATCATCATCCCAGTACGTGCTTTGTTACAGGCGGGATGATCCGTATTGGCCAGAGGCGAAACGAATGGCGATGGATGATAGATACCACTCTGACTTCAGCCGCCAAGAGCGCTTCCATGATTTTGACCACAGGGAACGTGGCCGTTACCAAGACCATTCTATGGACAGGTTAGTAAGGTGACATATTTTTTTTACATACCTGATTTACTATTTTCCTTACAAAACAGCACAGAAACAAAAGTAGGGCATCACAACGTGTGCTCATCTGCAAGCTTGTGTACATGGTGTTGTCTGTTGTTTTTAGAACTGCCTTGAAAAATGTTTGTTCATATTTGTCTGAAAAACATTGCAGTTTCATGCCAGGTGTTTGGAACAAGCCTCATAAACAAAGCCCCCTCTTATACACGTTGAGTGGGTCTCCCGTGCTGCACTTGGAAGTAGAAAGCTTCTGTACAGATAACACTTACACAGGGTTCTCAGTCCTGCTTCCTAGCTCTTTAGACAAGGCTAGTGATAATCGTCTTTTGGTTTTAAAGTTGTGCTTTCTCCTCTGACACTGGAAGTCTAGTGCATGAATGGCGAAGCTGGTTGTTACATATTTGTAGAGCTGCACCTTTTTTTCCCCAAACCATGTGAAAACACTTGTTAGAATCATAGGAAGTTAGGGTTGGAAGGGGCCTCAGGAGGTCTCATCTAGTCCAACCCCCTGTTCGGAGCAGGGCCAGCCCCAACTAGATCATCCCGGCCAAAGCTCTTGTCTAGCTGGTTTTTGAAAATCTCCCCAGGGTGGAGCTTCCACCACCACTGTGGGTTCTGCAGACGTTCACATTTGGACTTTTTTACAGCAATTTCCGGGGGTCTGGGCTGGCACGGGTGCTAAGGCAGATGGTTGACAGCCTAGAGGTCGCAAGTTTGAGGCCATAGCAGAAGCGCTCGTCGTGCGGCCTGTCATATTCCAACAAAATCTGTGAATTCTGCTACGTAACTTGTCACAAGGACCCAAAAAAGGAAAGGATAGCAACTGAAAGCTTCATGTGGGAGCTATTCCACTTCAGTTATTTCTCCAGCTCCTGTTGGTCCCAGTGATGTTTATTAGGTAGCCTTTCTTGGTCCCAGCCTTGCCTCCTAGTCTGATTTAGTACCATTTTCTCAGGCACTTGAACATGCGTTGTGCTACCTCGCTCCCCAGATTTTGGCGTATGTTATTTCAGTCCTCTGATGTGTTTCTGCTTTAAAACACTTAGTGTTTCTCTGCCTCAAACACTTGATTTTTAATTAAATAATTAAATGTGTGTTGCGATTTTCTAATTGAAATGTAGTTATTGCCTGGTGGGTTACTTCCTGTAAACTAGAGTCTGATTATGTGATTGTTACTGATTTTATTGAATTGCTCCTTTTTATTCCAGGAGAGAAGGTTCAAGGGGAATACCAGATAGAGATTCACAGGTACGTTCAGTTCGAATGATGGTTTCGTAAACCACATAAATAGATTATGCCTTTCACTGAGGAAGAGCGCAGAGCGTGTTCCAAACTGATACACCAGGTTCATGTTACCTGCTGCTTAAATGCAGCCAGCACTGGCATAAAACGTAGCAGCTGTTAAATAAGCAATTCATTTCTTGCACTGAATGTGCAAAGCATAAATTAGTTGCTAACTAGGGCAGCTGTCAAAAATTAGGGAAGAACTGTCTCTAAATGATCGGAGTTACCATATGCACTCTTCTTTGTGGGCTAGTAGGTGAAAATGAAAAGTGTTCTGGTTATTGGTGTCAGATGTTTGTAAGTGTAAGTGGTAATTTATTCTGGCACTGTCTTCATGAGCAGAGAGAGGCACCAGGAAGGAGTTCACAGCTTGTAGTCTACCTAAGTGTGCTATAGAAAATATACAGTCCCATAACAGGGAAAGGCAAATCTGCACAAAAGCAAATGAGTGACAACTAGATCAGTACCTTGAAAATGTGTTCTGCTGGCGTTGTCCAAAGAGGAGGAGCAGAAATGAATGTGGTTCATGTAAAGTTATCTAGCCATGGTGTGACAATAAAAGGGAGTTGGCACCCAGAATAAACTGCTTAGAGAAGTAAGAGTCAGCGAAGAATAAAACAGGTAGCGTTTAAAGCTCTAGAAGCTCACGCAAAGACGGACCTCATTGAGTCTTGCTGTCCTAGCTTGTGCGGACTTCCGATAGGCTATTCCAGTGGTTTAAGGTTGTTGACTAGTATACCTCTGAGAGGAAGACTATGGCATTCCT